TAAATCATGTAAAGAAAAAGTGACAACATCAATTAGTATGAAGAGGATTGTTACCTACATGTCGAGTAACTAACCGAATATCTTTGTTAATGCTCATAGTAAAGATATCACTAAAATTTTTAAAATGAGTTAAGGAAAATAAAATGATTAAATTTTAGGCTGCACTCATATCAATAAGAGGAGGTTGATATTTTAGTCAACTATTCCTAAGATCTTCAATTTCATTTGTCTGATCTTTAATCATATGACTTTCTAAGACCTAAGTTCAAACTATTCAAAGATTAATGTAGTAGTTCATCCCTCTACCAACGTCCACTCTCTAAAAATAATTTATTCTCAGTTTCTGTTAAATAAATTATTTGGTAAAATACAAGGCTTGGTATATGAATAATGCATAGTTATGTCTGAATATAAATTCAATTCAATACGTATTAAAGACGACTTTACCATATCATTATGTTGAATTTCAAATTTTGTTTGACTTTACTTAATGATTTTTCTTTAATGTGTAGAAATTATTATTTTTTACAAAAATTATCATTGTAATAAAGTAATGATTAGCACATTCAAGTAAGTAAAAATATTTTATGTAAAATATGAGTATAAACTTTTACTTGGTCTATTATGCATTTATAATGTTATATCACTACTTGCAAATGGCTACACTATTGAATTAATTGAATTTGTATCCTTCATATCATCACTTACTTAGGCTTTTCTAAATATCAGAAAATATTCTTTATAAAATGATTTAAAATATTTATATCACCAAAGCATCATTTTACATATTGAGGCTATAAGAAAATAAATTAACTTTATAATCATAATTTTTTGATGTAATTTAAAATAATTTTCTATTTTCAAATTATTAATTTAATTCAATATGTTTTATTGGTTTTTTTATATTTATGAAAATAGATCCTTATTGGACTCACTTGATCTAATAAGTTCTAGAAATATATATTGGTCCTCAATGGTAACTGATAAGTCTTCATTATCATGAGTTAATAATTAGTAAATAATATAGTTTTAGCCTTAACTCATGATAAATAGACTTATATTTGTGTTAAAGCATGAAAAGTGGTTTTCAGTTGATTAACGTGAATTTTTGGGTAATTATGTGATTTTATACGATTCTTACAGTCTTAGTTTTGAGATAAATGAAGAACAAGAAATAAAAATAAAAATATTACAAAATGGGGGGATCCGCCGGCCAGCCGGGCCCGCAAGCGGATCGGAAGCGCAGTCGGGGAGTAGCCGCGAGCAGGGGCTCGAGCGGCTTGCTTGGACCGATAGGGGCACGTGTGTGCCACTCCCCTTCCACGTCACCGGTGGTCAGCCGGCTGTGGGGCAAGGAGTGGTCGTACACGCGAGAGGACTTTGCCTTCAAAGCTAACTTTACTATATAATCGCCCGAATAATCCGCGCACAACCGATGTGGGACTAAACCCGCGTCACACCTTGTTCAGGGGCGGGCGACCGCCGCGGGTTCGAATCCTCCTAGAGTCAAAATTCATATATTTTTAACTGATTATCGTGACTTTCCTGCAGATCGCCGGCGAAGGATTAAGCAACTGGAATCGCTGGATCATCGGCGAAAATCTCGTCAACGCGATTCGCGGAGCATTGCTACTAAAATTTCTGAACGATTCGCGATAAAAGGATCGCAATCCATCGAGTAAATCATCTCCGATTGATCGACGAACAAGCCGTCGTCGGGAAGAGGACGATCCGCCGGGAGACCAGTCGCCACCTCCTGAGAGCGTACCAGATGCGATGAAGAGCCTCCTCTTGCTGCGCGGACCTGAGGATGAAGCTCCCTAACACGCGCCTCACCTCCATCCAGCCCCTCTCCGTCGGGTGACAGCCGCCGGAGAGCCGCAAAGTCGCCGTTTTTCCGCTCCGCCGGGTGACAGCCGCCGGAGACGATTCGACGACCCACTTCATTGGTCTCTAGACTTCGCGAGAAGATCTAGAGATTGCTCACGTCGTCTTTGTCCAAGGAGAGCCTTCGAGGCCGTGGACACTGCACGACGACCCTCCCGAACGCTCAGGATTCCGGTGCATCGCCGACGCGTCGCCGTCGCGACGCCGGAACTCTATTTTCCTGCTTTATCTAGAGATTGCCCACGTCGTCTTTGTCCAAGGAGAGCCTTTGAGGCCGTGGACACTGCACGACGATCCTCCCGAACGCTCAGGATTCCGGTGCATCGCCGACGCATCGCCGTCGCGACGCCGGAACTCTGTTTTCCTGCTTTCAATTTAATTTATGCTTCATTTAGTGATACTTTGTTGATTTTTATTTACCAAACTATACTTCGTTCAACTACGATTCTTCCGGCTTTTACAGATCTTAATTTGATTAATTGAGTCGTCTGTAATCGCCTACGTAAGAATCGCCGGGCGGAACTCTGTTTCCGCCTGATTCGCGTTCGCCGGGCGCTGACGTCATCCTGACGTCCGCACCCTTATTTCCTCCTTTTTTTTGTGAATTTTAAATATATTTCCTTTTTATTTCCTAGTATAAAATTCGTAAGAAAATCGTACTCATGGAGAAAAATTCTGAATAATTACCAGATATTATATTACATCCTTGTGATCGACCTGGAAAATTACCACTATTTTTGGGATTTGTATTGAATTATAATTGATATATTTATTTTGAAATACTTCTAAATATCTGAAAATTCGTATTTTCTAGTTTTATAAATTTTATATTTGCGTGATTTAATATACAACGACTGAGTCACGTCAGTAACACATTGATTTCTCAATAGGATATCCATACCTTTAATGAATAAGTCATATTGATTTTCAATCATTGAAATTTAAACTTTTAAATATGGTAAAAAAACGACAATTGTGTGGTGAATGATTGGTCTAGTGGAATTCTTGAATGAGATTGATATTATAGAATGAATGTAGGCACAAGGTTAAACAAGATTAATAACTTTAGAGCGGTTTAGGTTTTTGAACTCAAAAAGCCTTAGGGTTAGGATTGAAAAAAGTAGATTAAATATGATAAAAATAGTTGACTCAAATGCATACAATTAGGATCCAATCAATTCAACCCTTATCTTGATAGAAGTACAACTTAAAATATAATAGGAACGAGAATTACATCAATTGTCGTAAGAGGTACTTCACTTGTTAGGCTTGTAATAAACTTTATAAAGGTTATACTCAATTTTTTATCTGTTGCTATACATAGTTGTCAACTATAATATCATACCACTCTAGTCTTGACAAAGTTAGCTCTCTATTGAATGGTCATTGATGATATCATGAATAGTCCACCTCTAACAAGGCTTGGCCATCCATCTTTTGTAGATTGTTCAAAGGTATTGACCTTTTAAGCATTAGCTGACCAAGTAACCTATTCAAAGGTGCTCTCTCATCTAGTAACTTTACAGCTCAAACTCATCAAGTCAAGGTGTTGTCAAACATGTGTTAATACAAATAATAATCAAGGTTGATGCACCAAAAGAACGTGTGTGATACAAAAATTCAACCCACTAAATTTTTTTATAGCATACTTTCACAATAAAAAAGACTCAAAGTGTGGCTCTAGTTGATGTGGTTTCTCATATGCCAAGTCTGTTGACTTTCTAGCAAGAATGCATGTTCATCTCGTAAAAATGATATTATTTTGAATTAATTAACTATTATTACAGAGAATATAAATAATAGTTTTTGAAAAGTTGATGTAAATCAACACAAATGGTGTAATCTAACAATGGAAATTTCTAAATTTGAATATTCTTATTATGTTGATGACTGATATTTGACATAATCCATTGAGGATGATAATGATTATTACTTTTTTACAAAAGCTTTGTAGTCCAATGTTGACTTGCCATTTTGAATAGGGACAGTCAAATGAAGAAGTTTTTTCCAGTCTTCTTAGTCGTTTAAAATTCATGTTCATTGTGATAACTTCCTATGCTTATGATAGATAGAACCCCAAGCCCGCTGATCGGGTTTACGGAACCCACAACCCGCCAAAAGTCAAAATCGTTGAGAAGACTCAGGGCAAATCTGTAATTACAGAATAGGCTGGACGCGGGAGCGGGAGTGAGAGAGTTGCAGAAATCGTAGAGGTATAAATCTTGAAAAAGGCGCAGTTGGAGGTTTCTCGTCTCCTCGCTCAAGACTTTTCAGGGCTCTTTCTTCTGCTCCTTCCCGGCGCCTCCCGATTTACGCTGCGGATAGTTCCCATCATGAAGCGCCGCGTCGTTCGCAGAAACCCTAGGCGAGGTCTTCTTCGATCACCTTGGTCCCGTTCTCGTCGCCGCAGATGATGACTTTGTGATTCCATCCCTTGCGATTCCTCTACTTTCTTTGTGGTGATCGAGAACGGGGTTTCGTGGTTTCTCGTAGGGAAGAAGCAGAGGAGAGCTGCCGAGGAGCGCTCTGAATCCGACTCGGAGGTGAAGTCGTCGTCAGATGATGACTATGCGCTCCCTCCCAGTGGTGGCGAGCCTGCCTCCGGCAGCAGCGATGACGAAGAGTGGGCGACGGAAGAATGCAGTGGGAGGAGGGAGAAGAAGAGGAAGGGAAGAGTCCGGGGAGGACGCAACGACGCCAGGCCCTCCTCGATTCCGCCGGCCTCTTATGACGATGGCGACGACGATGACGATCGGGTTCCTGTTGTTGAGGATGGTGATGGGAATCGGGGGGGAGGACTGCCGGCGCGTTTAGTGGCCGAGCTACCAAAGGTCGCAGCGTCTAGGAAGAGGGCATCTAAGAAGTCAAAGAGGAAATTGAAGGGCAACGCGTTGATCTGGGAGGTTCTTGAACGAGAGAACGAGATATGGATTGACGAGCGTGAGAGGATGGCGAGTTCGGGGAACCCACCTGATGAGACTGAGGTGGCCATACGGGTTGCTGACCCCTCGCCGGATGTCACGCTTCCCCTTCTCAAGTTCCAGAAAGAATGGGTAGCCTGGGCTTTGATGCAGGAGGCGTCCAGTTCTCGGGGAGGCATACTCGCTGATGAGATGGGAATGGGGAAAACAATCCAGGCGATCTCTCTTGTTCTCACAGCACGCTCTCTCCATATGACATCTAGTGAGCCCCACCAGTCCGATATTCACGGATCGTCCTCTGCCTCGTCATCGGCTCCCCTGCTTCCTGTGGTGAAATCCACACTTGTCATTTGCCCTTTGGTCGCAGTTATCCAGTGGGTGGGTGAGATTGAGAGGTACACTAAAGAAGGCAGCGTCAGGGTTCTAGTGTACCATGGAGCCAAGAGGTTAGGCATGAATTATAATTTCAATGATTACGATTTCGTGCTGACCACATACTCGACCATCGAGGGAGATTTCAGGAGGAATGTAATGCCACCCAAGGAGAAGTGTCAGTGGTGTGGAAGGTTGCTGTATCCTAGCAAGATGAAGGTCCACCTAAAATATTTTTGTGGGCCGAGTGCTCAGAAAACAGAGAAGCAGTCAAAACAGACGAAGAAGGGAGCAGAAACCTCTAGTTTGAAAAAGAGACAGAGAGATCTTCACAATATTAGGAAGGATGACGTGTCTGGTTTAAAAGCAACCTCATCCATAATGAATTCAGTTTTGCACTCTGTTCGATGGGATCGCATTATCCTGGACGAGGCAAGTACAATATAAAACATCTGACTAGATTCTGAAATCTTCTATCTAGCTTGAAAACTTTGTAGATATGCTCATTGCTATCACACTTGTGAAAGGTTACTAAGCATGATATCTAATGGCTTCTACACAAGTGATCATTCATGGTGAGAATTGCCGTTGATTTTCATTTGTTTAGATATTACGATTGGTAACTCACAGGACTTATTTATTAATTCTCCCGTGTTATTCTGTAGTTTTTTAGCTGCATTTGCTGAGTTGTTGAACCTTGTCTTCTCTGGACCAAGTTAATATTTTGGGATTCACCAATGAAGATACAGAATGTTTTGGTTGTTGCCATGTTGTGTTATTGGCGGACAGCATTTTGGGGTTTCTCAAGATTGGATACATATAGCTTTTTTTTCAAGTGGTCTCATTGTTTCGACTGAATTGACAGTAGTGCACTTAGTTTCGTAGGGTTGCAATATAAAACGTATCCATTCCTTTAATCAAGGACGGTTATATTGTTTCTTGAAAATTCAATTTAGAGTAGAGCACTGAGGTCAGTAGAATCAAAGTTGCTTGAATGTTTTTAATCCAGTAGGGATCCATCGCTCCACCCTGCCTTCCCTTCTAACGCGAACAACGAAAATTATGGATTTTTTGCATTTAATCCATGATCTTTCAGAGGCACGTTTTCTTTTGCTGATATCCAGAGATAAATGTTGGAATCATTCTGGTTACAGTTGATTTTTTCGCTGTAGATAGTAGCACGGGATTGCTTACACTTGTTAACCCAGTCATTATCCGCTAGAGTACTGATTCTGATCCATATTTGCCTATTACCATCCCCCCAATGACATTTTGTATGGTGGACCGCCAGTATGTTCAGTTCCCTTTGTTTTGTTTTGTTCCTGTTTCCCTTCCTCAATGTTGATCACATCTGCTTTCTTCCTCCAGTTCTGCTAACTGTCATAACCTGTCCTTCTATTTTACTTCCCGTGAAGTTCTGATACCAAGAGGTTGCTGGGGGTCGCTGGTTGTTGGGGTTATGTGGATACAGGATTATTGAAATATGAGTCTTATCAACATTTTCTTTTATTCCAACTCTTTTTAACAAAGAGTGGTACAATGTCCTTAAACTTTTAAAGCTGCCTTCTTACATGCCTGAGTAGATAGAGCCTGATTGATGGATTGATGGAGATTCCGAATCTGATCCACAGATCACTTCCTAGGCCTTCTTCCAGTGGCTTATTTCCCTCATTTCTTATTTTTCTTTGCTTCAGCTATTTTTCTTGCTTGAGCAATGTGCTATGCTTCTTCATGTCTCTGGCATGATTTTAGGGACAGGTACGACTGAGAAGTAGCATATCCTGGTGCTTTGGAATGGAACAAATGGGTCTATTCAAGGATGTTAGGATGTCATTTTGTCATAGAATCTTGCCATTTATCCATTGATCTTCACATATTTTCCCTCTCATTACGCTGTGTTTTCTTGCTTGGCTGATTGTTCACAAAATCAAGTTTTTGTTGTTTTCTGCCACCGAAAGCGAAAATCTTACTTAATAATTGATAGGACCCTGCATCTTGGCAGGCAAACACAACAAAACTACGGAGATGGAGACGGAAATAGAAGATTAAACGATAGGAAAAGCAGTTTGGGCTCTGAGCCCCCCTGCTCTCCTTCAGCTGCAGCTGCCCAAGAATAATCCTTTGATACCCCTGAGCCCTAATACCTCTTTCCCTTTTGTGAGGAAAAGACCTAGCTGCCCTTCATTAAATTCTCACTAGAAAGGATTGTTTTGTCCCTTTGAGATGGGGTGCTGGGCCCCCTTTGTGCACCCCTTCTATGCCTACAGTAAGTTGGCCCATTGGTGACCTAACAATAGTCACCTAGAAGAGCCATATTGTTCATTTCTAATGGCTATTTGGGTGTATTTGATATATTATATAAATGACTTTTCTAGTTTTATTGAATGTTTATGCAGGCTCATTATATAAAAGATAGACGTAGCAGCACTGCAAGGGCTGTTTTTGCCTTGCAATCTTCGTATAAATGGGCCTTAAGTGGCACTCCCCTTCAGAATCGTGTTGGAGAACTTTACTCACTGGTCTGTAAATCACGCATTTTTTAATTTTGAAACTCCAATGTGTTTGTTTGGCTACTTGGCTGATTTTACCTTATGTACCATGCAGATTCGTTTTTTGCAAATCAAGCCTTACTCGTTTTATTTCTGTAAGGATTGTGACTGTAAGATACTTGACTATAGGTAAGCTTTTCGATGTCTTCGATTGATTCCTGAAATTCTTGTTGGTTAGACACTAACTAATGCAAATTCTCTTATCAATCATCAATACCATGTAAGCTACGGTTATCAAAAACTTTTATCCATCGAGAATTCTTTTGTTCACCATATTTTTCTTCCAGAATAAAGGTTCTCTGGTGTTCCAGTTTATAATGTAATTGCAATAGAATACCTACTACGTTCTTCTTGTTTTTAAGATGTCAATGTTATGTATGAGGCATTGTGAAATGCAATGGTATGGGGCACTTTGGATAAACTGTGGGTAATCCGTCTGATGTTCTGCTCCTTTTGATTTAAGATGTAAGTCGCCAGGGAACACTATGTGGTCTGTATATCGAATTTTATTCGTTCTCACTTGAACCTGCATTAAGTGGGATGATTTGGTGAGTGAGATGCATGAATGTTTATCTGCACATATGACAATCATGATTTTGACAGTATAGATGATATTTTGGAAGGTTTGGCTTACTGCTTTCTTTCCAGTGGGCAGCTTCAAAAAATTATTGTTCATGTCAAATTAGCTCATTTTGATTAAAGTCTCCTGGTATGTGTTGAAATTCCCCATAGTCCAATGAATTTCGAGGGTAGGAATCAAATCTGGCTTAATAATGTCAAACTTTTTTGTGGTTGATGCCTAACCAAGCTGGGTGATGAACTGCAAGATAGGACACTGTTTGATCAACTCACTTTGTCCTTCCTGAGTCAGTCTTTCTGCCCCACCTCTAGCTCGTCAGGGCTTAAATTTGGCCGTTTTTATCGCTGAATTATAAAACATTGAGATCAATGCAAGTGCTGCTTTTTGCGGGATCAAAACCTCTTCCATCTTCTTAATTTTGCCTGTCTGAGTTTGGTATGGCTGTCGAAAATGCAAGCTGAACAGCTTATAAGTTTCCTTTTTTTGTGACCAATCTCTAAACGTTGAGAGCGATTGGCAGAGTAGGCGCATTAAGGTTCTACACTCCACCCGAGGTTATTTTCCCACTGGCATACCCTTTTTTGACTAGAAAAAAAATCCTGCAGAAAAGTGATATAAAAGTGCGACATTTGCAGAAACAATTGGGAGCTTTTATGTGCAACTTGTTGCTATATTTAAAATTTGACTAATTAGTCATCATTATTTTGTATGCCAAGTTTTGGAAACCTGTGCACAAAGTTGAGGGTTTTTATGACAGTCTGGAGTAGAACGTAATTGAACAAAAGGCATACAGCAAAAAATAGTTGAATATGAATTAAAATTCGAAACTTTTGCATTCAAGGAATTTTAATCAATAATTGGAATGTGCAACACTGCATGTAATAAGTCATTATTGATGGCAGGTAGATGGGGATTTCAATTAATTTTATTGATACAACCGCAGGATTTGTCATTAATTACGATTAGAAATTTGAGACTTCGGCACTGTTGAAGAAATTGGTGTCAAGAAACAGCATGTTGGGTGACTATCCCCTGTACCATCGATCTGATTCTTATCCATTTGGATGGGACTGTTTTTTTACTTAGGTCGTTGGATGACACTGTTTCTGGAACCCATGCTAAGCATTATTTCCACAGAGGTGTCTGCATCTAGCTGCAATCAATGCATGATTGTGTGAATTGGGTCCTGCTAGAAGGTAGGAAAGTAAATGATAGGAGTCCGAATCTGCGGTGCAATAACTTTAGGAAATAGAGATCGAAAATACCAGAAAAAGGGGGAGATTGGGTTCCAGAAGGAACTCTGTTCCAGTTCGTGCTAACCTTTCGAGAGGACCACCTCTCTCCTCCACAAGCTGCTACCTGCCCAAAATCACGTCCTCCTTCCTTTCGTAACTAACCCTAATAACCCCTTTCTCCCCACAAAACATTGACCTAATTACCCATACTTAACCCTCCTGTCCCAATTACTTAAGAGCCCTTAGCTTAGGCTCTCTTTCTAGGCCGTAAGTTAGGCCTGTTAGGCCCCTATGGGTCTAATATTGTCCTCCTATTCTTCAGGTGTAAACCCGACCCATTGGGCCAGTTGGGGGGTCTAACAGTAAACTGTTTGATAGATTTAACTTCTCATTGAAGTGAATTTGGTCTAGAAATGGGATGCAAGTTGCATCTGCGAGTTGACTGCATGACTAGTGTGAGGGTTCTGTAGTGGTTCATCCGTCACATTTAGTAAAATAATATCTTCAAGTTTCATGGTGGCCTGAAACAAGGGTTTAAGAGGCTGAGAAGAAAGATTCTGAGTATAGATCCTATTCTCCCTAAAACAGTTAGTGTATTGGATCCTGAAGATTAATTAAAAATCAAACAAAAGATGTTGCGGCTATCTTGGTGTCAGTCATTGAGTACATACAAATGACGCATGAACTAATATGATTTGTTGTGGCTCATGATTCGTATTCAAAATGTGATTTTGAATGTGTAAGTATGGGAGATGTATTATGGTCACAAGACCAACTGCCTGTGAACAATTACGTGCAGGATGATAATGAAGCGTGTAGAAATTTCTCACCATATCTAGAGGGAAATTTATTATAGGAGCAGATCATCTATTCCTAGATTTGAGGGACTTCAACGCTAAGTTTGAGGGAGAGGTAAATGGAGCCTGGTGGCTGTAAGAAGGCTATTTTGTGTCTTGACCCAATGATGTTGACCTGAAATTCATCCATCGGGATACATGCGTCTATTATCAGCATAAGACGTTGTATGCAGTTTATTGAACTCATATCCCTATTTAGTAATTTGTTGAACCTAATTTTACGTTATTATTCTCTTAATGAATATTGCGGGGATGCTGGTCTGATGATACAGTAGATTCCCATTAGCTGCGCACATCCTTGAGTAAGGGGGGGGGAGGGGGCTCTGCTGGTTTTACATTTTATATCCTATCTTCTTTTTCATTTACAGAAGAATTTTTGAGGTCCACATAAGCTCAACTCATCTTAGTTAAGGATATTTTTTTTATCACTGAATTCAGTAGCTATTTTTGAATGCAAATAGATCTCAATTGTAGTCGAATGAAGAAAAACCTTAATTTAATTCCGTTCTCCATCAAAACTGTCAGTTCGGTAGTATATGACTTCAAAACAGCTGTGGACTACTACTAAACTTCAGGTAGCTTAGATGATATAAATTGTGATCGGACACCAATTCCGGACAAAAAAAGGAAGGAAATCTGATGGAAATAGCAGAAAAGAAAGCAGAAAACAAGAAGATAGGGATTGAGTTGCCGGGTGGAAACCCTAAGCATCCTGATAACCTTTTGAGAGGCTTCTCTCTCTCCAACAAGCCCTAATGTCTGCTCCCCCTCTCCTCCCCCCCGTTTCCCCTCTTTTCTTCCGTCCCAATATCTGGTCTTTTCTCTCCTGTAATATTATCAAATCCCCCCCTTAAAATTTGGACTTTGCCCTTGGCCCCTCCTAACATATTTAATACATATTGGTGGACTATCAAATTGGTGTTCTTATATCATGGAGGGGAGATGACTATGTGCAATGTCCGTTCTTAAATTTAGCCTCAATTTCCAATGATCCGGTTTTATATGTAAGAATTTAGATTTCTTCATACTTTTACCAAGAAAGCTCGTTTTCAATGTTCTGGCTTGTTGTTTGTAAGTTTTCTAAATCATATTGTATGTGACTGGGTCTTGTCCATGTGGCGGAATTAATGTGGATTGTGCAAAATATTAAATTTATTTTCATAATTGTTTGGTTTTTCTGCATTATGCCATATCCAACGTAAATACACTCTTGAAAAAGCTATCTAGCTTGTGGATTGTAGTTTTTTCATTTATTTGTATTTTGTTGATATTTTTGCAATTCGTCTCTTGTTTGTTAATTTTGTCTGCATATATGATGGTTATGTTCTTGGTAACAAAAGTGGTCATCTCATTGGGATATTTCAGTACTTCTGTGCACTGTGAAAATTGTGCTCATGGGTCAGCAAGACATTTTTGCTGGTGGAATAGAGTAAGTCACGTAATATTTCTAAGAATGTGCTTGAGGAACTAGATTTTACTGTGCTGGTGTCTTCCTAATATTCTACCTTCTCCTGTTAGTATATAACTAAACCAATACAAACCAAGGGACATTTGATCGAGGGAAAAAGAGCTATGATTCTGCTGAAGGAGAAGCTATTGAAAAGCATTGTGCTAAGACGTACCAAGAAAGGCAGAGCAGCAGACCTAGTTCTGCCGCCAAGAATTGTAAGTACAAGGATTCATAACACCATCTGCATATCTGCTGTCAAAAACTTGAGCTTTTTTTACTTCTCTGTAATATATACTTCGAGCGTAACATCATAATTTTTTGTTTAGGTTTGTTTAAGGCGAGATGCTTTGGATAGCAATGAACATGAATTTTATGAAGCCTTGTATACACAAAGTCAGACTCAGTTTGGCACGTAAATACATCTGGCCTATCTTCTTTATTTTTCTTCTTTTTGTAGCATGGGGTAAACATGATCTTTATAATTTGTTCTTTTATTTGAAAATGTCTTCCGTTTATCTCCATATTATCTTTCAACAGAGGTGGTGATTAATGGGCATTTTGTTTGGAGGTGGGCATTTGTGTCTAGTGGTTTATTTTTTTATTGGAACCTGACCAACTCTTTCAGGTTATATAATGCTTGGTCAAATTTTATGAAGAACTGCATTGATGGTCTGGGGAAAATGTAGGATTCCTTATGACTGGGACCAATGCATACTGGAATGTTTTGACTTCGTGCACGGTTAAGTTGTTTCTGGAGACTGTACCCTGAGTATCTGACGACGCTCATTCCACGACACATATCTGCCTGTGAATTGATGTATCTTTGTTAGGGTTTGGAGAATAATTAAAGTACCTTCGTATCCCCAGTCTGTTGAAAAATTACTTGCAATAAGTTAATGAAATAAAAAGAAATAATCTCAAGTTAATCTGATACTTTGCCTTGAAGCTTTCAACCTGACATCTAGATATCAGGACCTCAGTCCGTGAATTTTACCAGAATCCTGGTGGCGTGATTCTACCAGAATGAAACATCCAGGATGAGTGAATTTACATTCCACTTATCTTAAAACGTTTTAAGAGTTGTAGAGGAAAACAGATGGGATGTTGACATATCATTGACCTTCGGATTAAAAATAAAAGAAAATTCATATCAATTTTCGACAAATCTTGTGGAGTATTTCTTTAAGAAATAACCGTCCAAACAATGACTTCTATGTAGTTTGAAAGCTTTCCGCATTTGAACTAGGCACTGACAACTACTTTCAAAAGAAAAGATCCACTGGTTACTAAAAAGATACTTGAGATCAAAGCATTGAGCACATTTTTCCTCAGAAAGCAAATCTATTACCATCAAAATTAAGTGATAATATCTAAACAAGTAACTATCTCACGAAATTCTTTTGAAATGTGACGTATTGTAGAAACTGTTTGCTTAGCGTGATAAAAACTATTTAGTACATCCGATTGACCCTGAGACTCCTCTTCTTTTTTCCTTTCAGTTTCCTAAGTTTTGGTTAAAATATCCTATGGTATGTTTGATGAATGATAACCTGTATGCGGCTATCTTCCATAATTAGACCATTTAATCTCATTATCGATTCTTTTTTTTTTTCGTTGTATTTTTTCGGATGCCATCTCTTCCTTCAATGGCACAGTGCCACCCAAAGTTCTGAAATGGGTATTCGGGGTGAAATCGGCCCTTTTTTCATTCTTGCCCTTAAATACAGAGGAATGAAGTTTCTTGTCCGTTGATCTTGTGAATTTCTCGATTGGCTATCCTCATGAAAAATTCTAGAATTAGAGATAGGAACAGCAAATAGTCTCAAGTTGCTGCGGACTTTCATGGAATCACAAACCATGGAGATCCCATTAATGTGACAAGTTATTTGATAGCAGTTATATGTGGCTAGCTTACATATTGATCTTGATTACCTTTGAAACATTGACCTCTTCGATCACATTCCTTTTTATTAGTACCAAACGAATGGCCATGAGCATGTCTATGTACATTAGACGTATTGAAATTCTTTACTTCCTGTAGTTAAGATGCATGAATTATTCGTTTCCTTTTGCAGTTACGTTTCTGCTGGAACCTTGATGAACAATTATGCTCATATCTTTGATCTTCTTACAAGGTTGCGTCAGGTCTGATATCAATCACTTTTAATCATGAAAAATGGTTTCTGCTCATGTATCTATTTATTTTTTCTTGTCATTAGGGTCTATTGAATTTTTCATGCTTAATCTTTTTGAAGTCATCATCAACTGTTTGGCATGTATTCCAAACAAATTTTATTACGATTGTTGAATTAGGAATGATGTAATATTCATTTTACACATGCTTGAAGAGCATTGTGTTAGAAAAAAAATAATTAGGGAGAGTTTAAGGCAGTTGAACTGTTCAATGCCTGCAAGTTCTCTGCTGATCGGTAAATTTCTTTGTGTCATTTACCTTCGACTATACTTCATCCTGCGAATGTGTTGTTTAACTGCAGGCTGTTGATCATCCATATCTCGTCGTCTATTCAAGAACTGTTGATGCGCCAAATGAAAGCAATGAAAATACTTCTGCGGGCTATTGTGGCATTTGCCATGATCCTGCTGAGGATCCAGTGGTGAGATCTTATTTTTTCTGGTTTTACATTGATTACTTATGCGGAGATAGTGGGTTCTTTCTCTTAACCACTCTCTTTCAACTTCAGGTTACCTCCTGTGATCATTCTTTCTGCAGAGCTTGCTTATTGGATATCACACCAGCTCTCAGAACTGTCTCATGTCCATCATGTTCAAAACCTCTTACGGTTGACTTGACGACAGCTAACTCAGGGGAAAAGCGGGCCGAAAACAGTATCATAGGTTTTAAACATTCGAGTATCCTGAACCGATTAAATATTCAAAAGTTCAAAACTAGCACCAAGATTGATGCTCTGGTACTATTTTCCGCCCTTCTGGATTTATGGAGAATGTGTTAAATTCTATTCTCCACTATTTGGATTTGAAGACGTTGTTTTTAGTTTTTTTTTCGTACATTGTTCTTGTTTCATGCTTGTGAATCAGAATCCTCTCAATGGTGAATGCATCTATGATTCAATTGCCACACTGGATGTGATCTATAATTGTCCTATCGTTAACATTCAGGCTATGACCCTGCCATACCTTATGATCCGTGTGGACAGAACAGGTTGATTTGTGTATATATGATATCCTTGGTGAAATAATCCTTGTTGTTTTCTGTTTCTGCCTATTTTTTAAAATGTACCGGCTAGATGGAGAGACTTTTTCACTTCTCATAAAGCTATTTCAGTTCATTGCCAGTTTTTACCTGAGCTTTGGATGCTGCTGGAGAGTCGTTTGACAGTGTTAGTCAACTGAACGACGAGCCCTGGCTTCAATGCCACATACCATCTACTTCTGCTGGAACTAAGTATTGCTATCTCTGTGATTTCGAGTTCCCAAAATGGCCCACTATTTTCAAGTTGTGTTGGATCTTGTTCTCTTCTCCACTGACATATAACTTGCTAATGAGTCTGTTTTCCTTTTGAGCAATGTTGTCTACTCATGTTTCACAGATTAAAAACTTTGAAAATAGTTTCAACTTTCAGTCTCTGAAACTGTTTTCTTTTCTTAAAATGAAGCCGCATGCTTCCTGTTTTGTGATTTGTGCTGGCTAGTCTGCATAAAGGAGCAAGAAGTTCTGTGCTTCCTGGTGATTTGGATCGTTCTTGATACCTACCAGTAAATGACGGTTTGCTTGGAGGGAAAAAAAAAAAAACAAAAAACATACACTTAGATTGACTTTGCTTCTATGCTTAATAATACTTGTTTGAAAATCGTCGTGAAAGCCCACATTGTCTGGGATCTCTTCCATTTTCTGCCTAATTTTAGGATATATACAGAACAGCCCTGTGCAAGAAAAGTCGAAGCTGATCTTTGGCTGTCTAGCCGATTCTGTAGTTCTTGTGGATCATCCGGTTGGAGTATGGTAAGCTCAATGGATACAAAGTTAGAAAAAAAATCGTCAAAAAGGAAAAACCAGAGCAATCACATGATGATAGATATACTCCCTTTCTCCATCTTGAAAGAATCTAACGCAATTCGGGATCAGCCTTCTCTCCCTCGGGTGATCACTTTGGATTTGTTCTTGTTTCACTATAGTTTCTAATTCAATCGACAGCAAATAATTTTCTCCATCTACATATAGACTGAGGGTCTTGTTTTAAAAATCCTTTAAAATCTTTATATTTTAGATTTCTTCTCTCTCGCGTTGCAGAAGGAGGAGATAATGCTCATGGCTGAGGCTGATAGCTCAGCGAAAGGAATAGTATTCAGTCAGTTCACATCTTTCCTGGATCTCATAAAGTACTCCCTGGAGCTGGTACCCCCCGACCACCCCCACCCTCCCAATCTATTTATTTATTTATATTTTCATCCATTTATTTATGTAATTATGTATTTGTATGTTTTTTTGGCAGTCTGGGGTGAGCTGTGTTCAGCTGGTGGGGAGCATGAGCCTTGCAGAGAGGGAGAGGGCGATCAGCTCCTTCACTGAGGACGCGGACTGTAAGATCTTCCTCATGAGCTTGAAGGCTGGTGGGGTCGCCCTCAACCTCACAGTCGCCTCTCATGTAAATAACTGTCTGCCCCCCCCCCCTCTCTCGGTCTCCTTCTCCACGGTGGTCCCCACCTTGAAATGGTCTTTCATGGCAGGTGTTCCTGATGGACCCCTGGTGGAACCCGGCGGTGGAGCGCCAGGCCCAGGACCGGATCCACCGGATCGGGCAGCACAAGCCGATCAGGACCGTCAGATTCCTGATCGAGGACACGATCGAGGAGAGGATCCTGCAGTTGCAGAAGAAGAAGGAGATGGTCTTCGAAGGGTGGGTCAAAATATACTACCATCTGCCCCCTACTACCACCCCCGCTTCAACCACTCACTGTGGAGAGGAGAACGGGGTAATCAATCTGACGTTGACCGTGGTGGGACAGGACGGTGGGCGACTCCGCGGATGCCATGGCGAAGCTGACTGAGGAGGACTTGAAGTTTCTCTTCCAGAACTGACGGAGTCAACGCCGTAAGGTACGGCGTTGTTTTTGCTCTGCGCTTACTATTTTTGCTCATGCTTATGGTGGGTGAGCAGCCACAAGGATGTGTATGCCTTGAATGGTGTTAGAATGAATCAGGCGGCCCATTATAGGATCAGTCGCTAGTCAGAAAGCATGTGCCCTCCTCCTTCCACGTTGACTTGTGTTAGGAAGTTCCTTCTCTCGAGTTGGGCCTTTCTGGGGATGTTTCTATCTGGGTTTCCCTCCGTCAGACCTGCCTTTTGTTCAGAAGAGGTACAGTCGTCCAGCAAAGAGGGTATTTCTTTGGGATTGCCCATCTGAAAGCTTTTAGCTTCTCATGCCTTCGTAGGGCCAGTTCTACACCCAAAGTTCCTCGCAATTTTGCATTTCCAAGGGAGTCCTGAGAGGGGCAGTGCGACCGACAGAAACATGTCACACTCAGCAGACAGAGAGAGAGAGAGAGAGAGAGAGAGAGAGAGAGAGAGAGAGAGAGAGAGAGAGTGGGGGAGACCTGGTATCTCATGTTTCACCGCCTCCCCACACAAGGTAAATCTGATGGTATCTTCAACATCTCTCTCTCTCTCTCTTTCTGTGATGCCCACGTGAGATATCTACCGCCCTGCTATCCATGGATATTTATATATATATATAAAACATACCAATTTTAAGCGAAGAGGAGTCAACTTGAGCAATGCTTTCACACGAAAGAAGCCCTAGTTTTTCAATGTCGGCGTATCTTAAATCGTTGTCGTCCCAGTTTTGTTCAGTTTCTACTTATCCTCGTTCTGTCCGGCGGCGTACTTTCACTGGCTCTCTCCGGAATGCACAGCATAAGCCAAATAGAGGGGGGTGGTCCAGGGCATCTGGTCTTCCACGAAGGTTCCTTAGTGTGCTCTGCATGTGCTCTATGTAACCAATTATTCGAAATGTTTTAAAAAACGACTCATTCTCTAGTTTCTTCTCCTGTTTTTGAGCTTTTCTTGGCGTGTTTTTTTTCCAAAAAAAAAGAAGAAAAAAAGAAGAGAAAAAAAAGCCCATCGATTCCTTCCTTATTCATAAAAAATGTCTACCTCGGAGGTTCCTTGTTACTTCACCTTCCCTTCCCTTTCCCTCGGATTCCTCAACCCTTGTTAGTGGCTCTCTCTCTCTCTCTCTTCTCGACTGTCATCTCCACCCAGTTCCCTGCCTTTGCAGTCCTGTAAAATGATTATTGTGAAAATTGGACCCATTGGGAAATAAATTAACAAACTTTCTTGGCGACTCTTTACCAGATAGAACGTGTATGATTTATTTATGAGAATATCACCCTCGTCGGGGTATCCTCCACCGAATGGTGCACCTCCCCTCTTCTCTCTCTCTCTCTCTCGTCACCCAATTGGCCCCCACGATAATGGCATTGCATATTTATCGGTACAATCATCAGCAAAGCACATGTATTTATGTACGCCGAGTACCCTTTATTCCAGATCCCTTGCATAAGGGACTCGGCGATTTAAACTCCAGCGGCCTGGATTGCGCCACGCGTTCTCGAGAGCGACCCACACGTGTGGGCCAGCTCACCGACGCGCAGACACTGCCAATGACGCCGTCCCACCCGCCACAGCGGGCCCTTATGCAAACTGACCCAGGTCGCCGCCGCCGCCGCCGCCGCCGCCGCCGCCGCCGCCGCCGCGTCGCCGCCACGGCGGCGCCACCGACGCGCGTTAAACCGTCACGCTCACTTTGGCCCCCACTCTGATTGCTCGCACGTGCAGATTTGACCATTCGGCCCGCCGCCCCGCTGGCGCGCAAGGGACGTCCTCAACATGGCAGCTATTGTTATGGAATATATATTTTTTAAATAAATGCATGCCGCTAAAATAATTACTATAAACGTCGAAAACTAAACTTTCTTTTAGTCCTGTTCATGCGTTCATATTTCCAACTACCAGCGCATCTCTGTCAGAAGAGAGAGAGAGAGAGAGAGAGAGAGAGACGGGGAGGGCGGGGCAGAAGCAGCAGCAATGGAGAGTTGACGTCGTGTCGACCTCGTGTTGACCCCGATCAACAGGGTTTACTGTCGGACAATGAAACTGAACGGAAGTAGCAGCTTCGGGTGAGTTAACGTGGTGGGGCCAGTCAAACTGGTAAACTACCGATCTATTTTTTTGTCGGGGATTTTAACGGCGCGATTGTCCGTGCGAGCAGGCCGCGCCAGCCGTCGCCAGCTCGACTCCAACTGTGTCGTCGTCGGGCGGATGCGGTCACCGCTGCCGCACCCCCAAGCCTCCATCTCTCTATCTCAGTTGAGCTCCCGCCCGGCGGCGGTGAGTCGACGCGGCGCGCCTATCCTCCGCGGTGAGCGGAAGCTTGTGGTCACTCTTGACCGCGAACGCGGCGCAGTCCGACACTCCACGCCGCAGCAGGCCTCGGAATTCGGACAGGGGTATTTTCGCAAGTTAAAATATTTACTCCTATTATATATATACATATATAAGCAGTAATGTTTATTAAATGTAAACCCAAATGGAGCTGGCATAATATATGAATATTGGGTTTCTACGAATGGAAGTAAAAATGGAAGCCTCCAGCCATATATTATTATTAAACTATTTGGACAGGTGGTTAATAATATTTATTATTTTAGTTATTTATTTCGCCATGTTGATGCTATCGAGCATAAGTTTTCCTTCTTATTCGAAGATTTTAATTTTTTTTTTTTGTTAGATTCAGTCGAGGATTATGTCGTTTTGTTCAAAAAATTTATTAGGCACGAGAGTATATATACGATGAAAAATCTTTCTAGGTGTATTCTTACAATGCGGCTGTTGAGATGCCCCCCCTCCGCCAACTCCCCCGCATTCAACAACCGCACAGTCGGGAGAGTCTTCTTAAGAGGGGGAACCCACGTCCTCTGCCTGCCGCTACCTCTCTCTCTCTCTCTCTCTAGCTATCGTTCATAACTCTCTTTTAATTCCCTCGCCGCGTTAGGCAGCTGAGAGCAGGGGAGAAGCGGTGGGAGCGAGCCCACGGACGGCGACATGGGAGGAAGGCGGCGGGGGATCCTCTGCTCCGGTTCCGCCTCGTCTCCTTCTGCGGCGGCGGCATTGATCCTCTGCTGCTGCGTCGCGGTTCCGCTCCTCGTCTCTGTCGCTGAGGCAGAGGATCCGTACCGCTTCTTCACCTGGAATGTGACCTACGGCGACATCTGGCCCCTCGGCGTCAAGCAGCAGGTCTGACTGCTGGCCATTTCTCCTCTGTCGTTCCTCTTCCATTGCTATTGCTCGATTCATATCTGACGGCGTCTCCGTGTGCTCGGCGGCCGGGTGGCGGCAGGGAATACTGATCAACGGCATGTTCCCGGGGCCGCCGATTGAGGCGGTGACCAATGACAACCTGATCATCAACGTCCACAACAGCCTGGCGGAGCCATTCCTCCTCTCCTGGTCCGTTCCTCCACCCCATCTTCTTCCCCCCTCTCCTCTTTGCGTGCGCTATCTCCCTCTTATTCTCTTTCTCTCTCTCTCTCTCTCTCGGAGGAAATTTCCTCTTCACTTTGGATTTATTTGGATATGTTTTCGTTCTGCGAGAGAGAGAGAGAGAGAGAGAGAGAGAGGGAGGGTACGTTTACCGTTTCCCATCCCATGTGAGATTAGACGTGTTTTCGGTCCTTTTTCGTAATAGCCCTTGTAAAATTTACTATAGACAAAAAGTCACCATTGCCTTCTAATTAGGATATCTGCCCGGTGCATCTGATTTTCTGTCAGGAAAGTACATCTCACAAATATGAATTTATAAGCAAGAAACTATTTTTATCGTTGAGAGTATTTATCTTAGCTTAGATTTCCATTGCCGATCTTGCCTGTTTTCCGCTTTCGAAAACATGTTTTCGAAGGTACCCTCATTTATGCTCGTGGCAAGAAAAGAAGAACCACCTCTTTACGGCAGGGCCTTTTCAATAGCAAACTTTGGTCTTGAGGACTTTTTTGCAGTTTTCCTTTGAAATTTTTCTCCTCTTTTCTAAAATTAAAAATTAGGGGAGAAAAGTTTGAAGCCTGGTTTTCGGGATATTACTACGAAGGAGGGCACTAACCTAATTGTTTTTATTATGTGCGTGTGAATGCATACAATCAAGACACCTTTTTAAATCTCGCTCCTCTGGGCGGGGTGGCGCGGCGGGAATCTGTAATATCCGGGATGAGTCACGTGCGCCTCTCTGGCGTCTGCAACCCACCCTCTGATCGAGATCCCACGGTGGACTTCGACGCCCACCCCCCCCCCATGTGCTTGAGAGTCCTAGTGTGACCCAGCTAAGAATTGCGCCGGCGGTATTTCGATTGGGGGAGACAGCGGTCCAGCTGATTTTCCCGAAAAGACAACCAAGTCTGCGACCACACGCTAAGCGATGGCCCCACCAGGCTATTCGATTTTCGGATCTCCTGAATGGGCTTAATAAATAGTCATGAAACCGGGCATAATCAATCAAGCCGGGATATGCCACATTGTGTGATATTTATATTGCATGTATTTATCTCTGATCGAATCCAAAATAATGGAATTTCCCGATTTTCCTCGGCAGTAGTCTGCGGATCATGACACGTGGTTAGAACTGGATGGCGGTTTTAGACTGTGCGGAAGATTAAATCTTATCTTGATTAGGTTTAAACACTGTTCAAGCTTTCGTTGCAACAGCGTGGCAGAAATCTTAGCCCACGCCTGCAGATCATGCACGCGCCGACTTTGCTGTCTTGTAGTTTTTTATCCTCGAGGAAGTTTTGTGATTGGTAGACGTGGCGCTTCGGATTGGTCTTGGGTTCTTTCAGGAACGGGATTCAGCAGAGGAGGAACTCATGGCAGGACGGGGTGCTGGGCACGAACTGCCCCATCCCGCCGGGTCGGAACTTCACCTACATCCTTCAGGTGAAGGACCAGATCGGGAGCTACTTCTACTTCCCGTCGCTGGCCTTCCACAAGGCGGCGGGGGGGTTCGGAGGCTTAAGAATCCTGAGCCGACCCAGGATCCCGGTGCCATTCCCCCCGCCCGCCGCGGACTACACCATCTTGGCCGGCGACTGGTTCAAGGCCAATCACACGGTCAGTCTATCAATGGCATATCTCCCCCAGTTTTCCTTATTTTCTAGCGTTCCCGGAAATCTTATTATCACACACAGGTTTCCTGTTTGTAGCAATGAACGTTTCAATCTTTATAGATTTGTTCTAACTTTCCTATTTTAGCTATACCAAGTTTTTATTAATGTATATATATATATCTACGTCTATATATGCAGTTCTGCAATTGTATTAATGCAGAATTTCATTCGCTCTCTCTCACTGTATATATATATATATATAGAGAGAGAGAGAGAGAGATGTATTTGTCTAGAACTTTCCATGTTTATAGAACACTTTCTATTTCGGCGAGCTTCTGTCCGGTCATGTTGACCCACATGACGTGATATGATGGCACGTCTCTTCTGCAAATTCTTCATATTTCGTTCGTCACGTTGCGGATTCACCACAAGTCATCATCGGGCGTGCGTACGAGGCCCTGTGGACTCAGTTTTCTGGTTTAGATATTGAGCTCAAGTGGGCAATTTTGTTGAAGGGGATGGAAATCTGGTCGGCACGCATCAATACCTGAAACTCGTACCGATCGGTTTCTTCGCTACATAAACCCTGCTTTGATTTTTTTATTTTTTAATTTTTTATTTTCTAATTGAACCGCTCTTGACATGCCTTATTTTTCTATAAATTATCTACCTTCTCTGCCTTTTCACTCTGTGGATCATAAAATCCTCGCCGCAACGTGGTCCTTCCTTTGACAGGACTTGAAGGCGCTGTTGGATAACGGCCAGGATCTTCCCTTCCCAGATGGGCTTGTCATCAACGGCCGCGGATTGGGTGGGACCTCCTTCACCGTGGATCAAGGTGATTTTTTTTTAAAGAAATAAATAATTAACCTTATAAATGGCATCATTTATTTAGAGAAAGTATCCGTCGTAAGTCGTTCTTACTTAATATCATAATTAATGTAGCTGGTTTGGTTTCTCATTTTATTCTCGATTAATTTGTGTAAGGAACTCAATGCTTTTTGCCCGCGCACGTGAGATGTATTATTCGTTTTGGTGATGATTTTCTTTGTGACGCCCTATTTTTCCCAGAAGATGGTGACTAAATATGATAATTTATGTAGGTAAAACATACAGGTTCAGGATATCGAACGTGGGGTTGACCCAGTCCTTCAACATCAGATTCGAAGGCCACACGATGAAGCTGGTGGAGGTGGAAGGCTCCCACACCCTCCAAAGCTCCTACTCCAACCTGGACGTCCACGTGGGCCAGTCCTACTCGGTCCTCCTGACGGCCGACCAGCTCCCCCGGGACTACCACATCGTCGTCTCCAGCCGCTTCACCAGCCCCGTCATCGCCACCACCGCCGTCCTCCGCTACTCCAACGGCGGGGCCGCCGGACCCCCCGGCCCACCCCCTGGTGGACCCACCATCCAGATCGACTACTCCCTCAACCAGGCCCGCTCTATCAGGTACAACCACGCAGATTCTGAGATAGATAGACAGATAGATACATACGGAGATAGGATAGATACATATATATGTAGAGAGAGAGAGAGAGAGAGAGAGAGAGAGAGAACATGAGCGGGAGTGATGATCTCTTCTTTCGGTTTTTTGTTTCAAACCAGGTGGAACCTGACGGCGAGCGGGCCGAGGCCGAACCCGCAGGGGTCGTACCACTACGGGCTGATCACCCCGGGTCGGACGATCCGCCTCGCCAACTCGGCACCCGTCATCAATGGCAAGCAGCGGTACGCAGTCAACGGCGTCTCCTTTGTTCCGGCGGACACCCCTCTCAAGGTGGCGGACTTCTACAACATCCCCGGGGTCTTCACCCCTGGGAGCATCCCCGACAGCCCCTCTGGCGGCGGCGGCTACCTCAAGACCTCCGTCATGGCCTCCAACTTCCGGGACTTCATCGAGATCATCTTCGAGAACTCGGAGGACACCCTCCAGTCCTGGCACATCGACGGCTATTCCTTCTTCGTCGTCGGGTACGTACGCGTCTGACTTACGGCCACCACCCTCTCTCTCTCTCTCTCTCTCTCTCTCTCTCTCTCTCTTCTTAGACCTCAGGACTTACTGGGTGTGGGTACGGCGGCTGTTGCAGGATGGACGGCGGGCAATGGTCACCCGCGAGCAGGGCCGGCTACAACCTGAGAGACGCAGTTGCCCGGAGCACCGTCCAGGTACTTACTCCCCGGCCAGCGAGAACCCTAAACCTTCTTAAACCCCTTAAACCCTCTTGACCCTAATTGTTATCCGCTCGCAGGTGTACCCCAGGTCCTGGAGTGCCATCTACGTGGCCCTGGACAACGTGGGGATGTGGAACGTTAGGTCTGAGAACTGGGCCCGGCAGTACCTGGGCCAGCAGTTCTACCTCCGCGTGTACTCCCCGGTCAACTCCTGGAGGGACGAGTACCCCATCCCCAAGAACGCCCTCCTCTGCGGCCGCGCCGCCGGCCGCCGCACCCGCCCCCTCTAAATCCCACCGCCACCGCGCCGCCGCAGAGGGAGGAGCTCGGTCAGTCACGAAGGGGTGACGAGGCCTCCTCCGCCATCGCCATTGCCACTGCAGCTTCCAGCTGCCGCTAAATTGCATATTTATCATTCCCTTTTATATCTACCCATTCCCCCCTTCTATTTTTACACGGGCTGCCTAAGTGTGATGGACCTTATTATGATGATAATCCTGCTCTAAGCTAAGCAATGGGCTAAATAATACCCACTACGGCCCGCTCTCAGCCGGGCCCGAAAGCCCACAACCTTGTAAGGGGCCCTTGTCCACTCGGGCTATTTCTCTCTCTCTCTCAATCTTCTTTGTCACGACAAAAGTAATGCAAAGACTTCCCAGAAGCCATTGCAGTGACCTAAATAAAATCTTCCTTCTCTTCTTAGCTCCATGGGAGCTTCCGATCCCTTCCACACGCAGGCTTCTCTGCCAATTCTGTGGTTCTGTGTTTCGCCAGTCACCTGAGGATATATAATCCTGCGCTCTAAATATCTCACGAACTTCTTTGGCAACGCTGTGGCATGGTTAACTGTGAAGTTTGGGTGCTCATTTGCCGAAACTAAATGAGAATGTTTTCTTTCTCAATCCGATTTTCTTGGAAATAATGATTGATATAATTATTTCAAGGATTTTCAGCCCGTATCTAAGAACCGGTGGCACCACCCATAATAGCCCCTAAATGGAAATAAAAGCTTAATCTTTACATAAAATTTTTCGTATGAAGTTGCAGTTGAATCTCTCCCTCCCCCCTCTTTCGCAGCGTATAATATACATGTATTATGGGTGACATGTCATCGTCTGGATCTTTTGATAACTCTGGGCAAAGTTGATCGAGCAGGGAAGTTAGGGGTTGTGACGGAGAGCTTCTCATCTGCCTCGTCATTCGTCTCTTCTGGCACCTGGTCTCTCGAGAGCTCATCCTGCTGCTGTAGATCCCTGGCCACCATGTCGGGCACAACGAAATTGGCCACCCAGTAGAAGACAAGCAGCACAATGCTGTAAACAAAAAACGCCAGCAATCAGCTCAAGGATCTCTCTCTCTCTCCACTCGTCTGTCTCTCCGTATTTCCCAATCAATCCATCGAACTTTGTTCTTCACATTCCTCGCAGACTTAGCTGCACAGATCCGCACAAATGAATACCCTCGAACCAGTTAAGACTCTCCCTCCCTCCCTCCCTCCCTCTCTCTCTCTCTCTCTCTCTCTCTCTCTCTCTCTCTCTCTCTCTCTCTCTCTCTCTCTCTCCTCCCCCCTCCCCTCGCTGTATTTCTCATCGAATAATCGCCGCAAGTATAGGTAAGGGCGGAGAGTTGTTCAAACCTGATGGGGATGAGAACTGATAGATTCCCGCCGGAGGCCGGAGAGATGGAGGCAAGGGGAAGAGCTGCTGCGTCGCCAATGGTGATCCGCGGTGGTCGTAGCAGCCAGTGACGAGACGGCGGCCCTCGATCGGCGGCCAGAAGCAGCTGGAATCGCCTTTGCTTTCTCAGATTCCCGCAGAGGACTGAGCTCGACGGCAGCGCCGCACCAATCGCCGCCATAGCCTCCCCAGTGAGAAGACAACCTCCTCCCTGTTCCTCCCAAACGATAATACGGTGGGGATATGGATAACGAAATACCGTCTACATATGGGTGGTGGGCATGCTGCGAGAATAAAGGATACTTTTTGGGCTCAATAGGCTTTTCAGACTTACCGTTACCTAGAGGAATTGAATTAATTTTTTAGTCATCAAAGTATTTCAATCGTTTAGTGAATGTCTCAATTGGCGGCCTTATAGAACGGCTGTATCCTTGTTAACACTCCATCTTGCCTTCGTTTCTGAGCTCGTCGGACCAAACTTTCAGACGGGGATTCTTCAGCCTCTTCTCTCCCAGGTCTTAAAGGTGCAATTTTTTCTAAAAACGCGGTCAAACATCCCTCTGCAGTATTTCTTTATTAAAATGACATGAGTGGATAAATATTTTTGATGAAAGAATAGTCGGTGGAGACTCTTCAACAAAATCAACACTTGAAATGGAATTTTGACCATACACTCAGTCTCTCTCTCTTGTAATCTAGTTCTTGACCAATAATAATAATAATAAAGATGATCCATGAATGAAATTTATGTAAAATTAATGGAAAAATATATTGAAAATGTCACCCTTTGTCTCACATGTATTAATGGGATGCCTACGATTTCCTCTCCGTGTTGGCTCCTAATGATCTCTCTAAACAAAATAGGATATATATTCATAATCCCTATTTATTGACAACAAGATAAAAAGCCCAACTCATGGAGATGATGTATCTTAATATTTTTGAAAGGCTCAATTCTCGGTTATTATTTTAGAGGATGAGGAAAATCATGAGTTTAAAGAAAATATTTTGAAAATAGTTAATGCCAACACAACTTTTGGTTTTGATTGGGTTGGCATATTGTAATTTTGGTTTCTATGTCCTATAGGACTATAGCTAATATGATTTAGTTTTCTTATAGGATATGGATGTCACACCCTCAACATGGAGGATCTTGATTTCAATCACAACTTTGCTCCTGATGCATGTTAGGGTGATGGTTTGTGTAGAATGCACAACATACATGCAACTAGTGTGGGATGACATTGCACGTCATGCACATAGGGGGAATATGCACATAAATATCTGAATATTTATTTGAATACCATCTCTAGTGAAAAAATGAGAAATTAAATGATTCATGTAAAAGAATTAATAAGTAACTTTAAGTTTGTAAGTCTTTGGCTACTACTAAGGACTAATAAAATCCAAAATTGGGGGTATTTATTAAAATTATATTTTTGTGTTTTAATTAATTATATTATATTATATTATTTTGTTAACTTTTAGAATAAATATAGGAATATATTGTTAATTTTAGAAGTCTGAAGTTAAAAATAGTTAGCATAATTTTTTATTATCTAGAAAAATAAAAGAATAAAATATAAAAATATCACCACCCACTAGTAAATCGGCATTTGGCTGCTGACCTAGAGGGGTTGTTGTAGTTGAGTGGGTAGACCTAGACTTGGAGACCAACCACGAGCTAGGCTTGAGCGCTAGAGGGCTTGCTTCATACACGTGTGCATCACTTTCTCCTACCACGTTCTGGTGGCCAACTAGTTGTGGAGCAAGAAGTGTCATACATGTGTCCTCACCAGGGCATACCACTTTTTACCTTCTCCCAATATGATCTTAGACATTATTTTATTTTGAGAGAAGGGATCTCTATTGAGAGAACCTAACTTTTTGATGTGAGACTAAATGTTCTCGTGTGTTTTATGATAGCCATCTAGAGGGTGGTATGATCCAACAATGTTCCATGAGGCACATTATCAAATAAGTTAGATCTTGCAGCCGGTGAACTGCCATGATCTTAGAAGCGTTAAGTAATCAATCGGCGGTTTGTGAATTTGACATTGCTGAGCACGTACATAGCCTTAAATGATGATCCGACAACTAAGGAGGTGTCCCAGTACTAAGGTTCTTGATCGACAGTAGTTTGTGGTGAGTTGATCTTGCATCGCTCAACGTGCCACGTGACCAAATACATATGATCTAGTGGCTTATGACGTGTCACAATACTAGGAACTTAAGTTCTTGCACATATCACCATCAGAGATATAAAGACAATAATCTATTATTGTCTGATAAAATAGATATTATCAATTATTTTTAAAATTTCAACGGTAGTCGCAAATACAACAATCTGTTCTTCTTCGCTTTTGCATGATCTGTGTCTCTAGCAACCAGTGAGCTCATTCCTTCTTCCCCTGACTACACTCAAGGTCTCTACTAAGTGGTAAGTTCTTTCCTTCTCACTTTAGATCATGGTGACAATGTAGTCAGCCCTTCTTTTTAGCGAATCTCTTTGACAAGCGATGCAACACTTACTTCTATGACTTCCAATGTGATGTGGCACATTCAAACGAAATCAAACCATCACACCGATGTCTTTAGTTGTTCAAGAGCCAGGCTAAACTTGGGCAATGATTTATTTCCTACTTTCAACATTTTTTATTTATCTTCTTTTGTCATTTATTTATATTTTACAATAAATTATTTTTGTTTCATGCATATTTCAATTGAAATGAGTAGAAATAATTTAAAACTTGATAAATGATCTTTGCTCTTTTGAATCCTTCGAAACTCGTCTAAGATCAACGCAAAGATCATTTTTAACTTATTTTATATTAATTTTCATAGTTGAATTTTGATGTATTTAGATTCTTGATATTTCAAGAATAACAAGTATTTTTCTATTTTCAAAAATAAAATAATTGAGATTAAAAGTTGATTAATGAGCATTCAACAATTAAAATAAATTAAAGAAGACATTCATGGCTGACCTCATGTCATGCATGTCAATTCTCGAGCATACATTTATTGGAGAATAATGGTCACTATGAAAATGGGTTGATAGTATTTCTCTATTTTTTTATTATCATTTTATTTCTTTCTATCCCTCTCTCATGAAATCTCTTCTTCTCTCTCCCTCTCATGAGATTCTCTCCCTTTCTCTCGATCAATCTCATTCTTTCTCTCCCTCTCTCTCTTCTCTCTCTTGTGAAACTTTTCTATCTCCATCTCACATGAGATGTCCTCTCTCTTTCTCTCTTTTTCACGAGAGATCTCTTCTCTCATCATTTGTGAGAGCTCTCTCTTCTCTTTCTCTTTTCCTCCCTCTTTTTGCTTCCTTTCCTTTATCCTTCTCACCTCACTCTTTTATTTTATTATTTCTATTAAATAATAATAAAATATTAATATCACTTTATATATAAACTAAATTTATTTTCACAACAAATTAATCAATCGCCTTATGTTTGACATGAGACTTACTTCTATACTAATATTTTATTCAGTCTTAATTTTAAATATTATTAGATAATGAGCATTTAAACACATGACAAGTACACATTAGTGTGTATGACACAAGATAGCACAACACTAATGACATAGGACACACCATAATGCACAATAGTGTGTGGGGTACATAGCATGGTGTAAGATAGTTCATGTGTGCATGAAGGGTGCAGGATGACATGAGATGTCATGTAATAGTGTAAACACATGACTGAGTGCTCAACATATGGAGAGTTGTGTATAATAGATGCATGTAATTCATGTGTGTATAATATAAGTGTCTCACCTACTTGGATCTCCCCCCGATAAATAGAGTAACCATTGGCAATGCCTAAGGTAGTAAGCGTAGATACTTGGGTCATCACTCTCCTATACTAACTTGTGAGGTAAAATGTCTTCTTGTTTTCTTATATGCTTCTATAAGGTCTTCATTGAGTGTGAGGTTATGTGACATTGAGGAAACTTATAAATGCCAACAATGGAGTGTGAAATTACTTTTGAGTAGTCCCCATTGATGAAGTGGAGAAAGTCAACAATCATTTACTTAATGAGCAACACCAAACTTTGATGGTATATATACATAAATGACCAAATAAGAAACCTCATCGACATCTAGGAGGCATTCACTTGGGAACAAAAGTAATTCCTATGACTTGTCTAGAAGGCATATGACACATTTTGATATTTGAAGCACTCAAGTTAGGTGTAGGAGTATGTGAAGAAATTTAATTTTTTACTCAACAAAAAAATATCTAATAGAAAAAAATGCTTCAATTTTATGTCAATTTTATGTCACTTGGAAAAAGGAACATACATAAGATGATGGTGCTAATAGATGATTTTATTGACTATTGAATACTCAATGTAATGATTTAATGAAATTGAGAACAAATATTAGGACACATAGAAGGCGATAAATTGGAGAGATGGTCACCACAGGAAACAATATGATGACAATTATGGGCTGGACACTAACAATGACCAAGAGAGACTCAAGACTAATGCAATACAACATGGATGAACAAATAACAAGTGTTTCACCTACATGGGCCATCAATGTAATGGAGGCCCAAGACATAGTGACAACATACGACTTGGGGCCAATATCAATGGGCAGATTACCATTGCAATGATTGACAATAGGGCCAACCACAACTTTCTCTCAAACAAGGAGGTTTCTTTATTCAGCCTAATGTTGTCACAAGGAAACAATCAAATCAAGAGCATCAACTCAATGTTAGGCTGTGTGTAAGACTATATTGAAGATTGGGGCATAGGAAGGTGCTATCAATTTCACATTGTTGCCAAAATATTATTTTGACACCAGCTTCAACATAAAGTTCTTAATTAAGTCACAAGTAGGAATCAATACATTTGTACATAGTGTATGGCTTTAAAAAGGACTGAACTTGTGCTTCATCATAAGAACTTGAGAGATATGATTGAAAATGCTATTAGCATTGCAACTTTGGGATGATTTATAGATGGATGAGGAGACCTACCCTCATGACCCTTTGAGAATAAGAAAATGGACTCCCTTTGAGCCTCAATATGATAGGAGAAAACTTGATGAGGACATCACCTCATCATCCACACCCTGTAGGTGACAAAGTTGACCATCACCCACTTTGGCTGCCCCTAGAGATGAATAGATAAGAAGCAGAGATGATTTTAGAAGAT